CCCAGGAGCCCCTCCCCGAGGACTTCCAGCTGCTGTACAAGGAGGCTGGGATGCACAGCCTCACGGCCACGGCCATAGGGCCGCCCGGCAGGGAGCCGCTGGGCGTGATGCTGCTCGGGAAGCTCAAGCCTGGGGGCTTCGACGACGCCTGGTGCGCAACGAAAAAAGTTAACTCGCGGGTCTGCCCGCGGCGCTGGCGGGCCGCCCGTGCACGACGGCCGGACGCCGCCGGCGCCGCGGCTGGGGGGAGAGTGGTGGCGGCCGCCGCACCCGGGCCGCGCGGGGCCTTGCCGGCGCCCCTGGATTTTCGGTGCCCGCCCTGAAAGCAGCGCCCTCCTTCGCAAGGCCCAATCTCCATCTCCCTTGCCCCGTGCCCCGCCCCGCTGCCCCGTCCCTGCACCCCGCTGCCGTGCGCTGCCCGCAGGTCCGAGGTGTGGCTGAGCGCCGCGGCAACGGGCCTGCTGCACCACATGCGGCCCGGCCAGGTGGCGCAGGCCTCGTCCATCCTGCGCACCATTGATGAGGCGCACGACCCCGTGACGGCCATAAGCGTGTTGCTGCAGGTGTCTGGGAGGGGCGGCGGCGGCGGGTGGCGAGCGCGTCCGCTCCAGGCCTCCGACGGACGTGGGCGCACGCACGCCCGTAATGCAGACACAGCGGGAGTGCGCAATCGCGCGTGCGTACACACCCCTACGCATACACTGGCTCTTCAGCTATCCACCTGTTTATCCCCCTGGCTTTGATGTTTTGCTCTCTTCCCGCCACTATCATTCCACCTGTTTTTGGGGTAATAGCAATCTTCACACGCGGTCCGCACGTTCCTCTCCCCCCTGCCGCCCCCTATCCCCCCTTCAAAAGAGCGGCGCCAAGTTCATGTTCCGCGCGGTCAACATAGCCATGGGCGTCAGGCTGGCCCTTATAGATGAGAGCGGCCGCACCGCTCTCGTGTTCGAGTCGGCCAAGGCCGCGCGCCGCAAGGTGAACTGCGCGGCAACCTGCGGCCCCGGGCCACGTCACTGGCGCCGCTCGCCTCGGCCGCGTTTCGGTCATCCGCGCGCGGCCAGCCGGGGCGTCGTCGGGTCGGCCTCGGGCTCATTTCAGGGGCACAAGGAAGCCCAGAGAGTGAGCACTCACATTGAGATCGCCCAACACACACACACACACACACACATGCACACACACTGTCATGTGTATGCACCCCCTGTGCCTCACTAATGCAGGTGGAGCCCCTGCTCGAGGCCGGCAAGACCGTCGCGCCCCCCGCCAACCCGGGGTGTGACGTCACCGTCAGGGAGCTGCCCCTGCAGAACACACTGCTCGCCAGCGCGGTGGGCGGGCCCCGGGGCCGGTTGAGAGTGCAGGGCGCTTTGGCAGTGCAATTGATGGGAGCCGTGGCAGGGGACTGGGGTGCCGTCTGCGGCAGCAGCGCCCCCCGTGCTTGCGCGTGCAGCTTGAGGGTTGCGGCTGCCGCCATTGCCTCTGCCACCGCCGCCACCGCCGCTGCTGCTGCCGCCGCGGCCGCCGCTGCCGCTGCTGCTGCTGCTGCTGCTGCTGCTGCTGCTGCTGCTGCTGCTGCTGCTGCTGCTGCTGCTGCTGCTGCTGCCGCCGCTGCTCCTGCCCGCTGCTGCCGCTGCTGCTGCTGCTGGATGCCAGCACCGCTTCCCTGAGCGACCCCCCCCCCCTGCCCCCCAAACTCCAGGTTTCCCAAAAGAAGGCCCGCTTCGTCAAGGACTGCGCCTCCTACATGCAGAATTGCCCCGCCCCCGCGCGCGACGTGTTCACGCACGCGACAGAGCTGGTGTCGTCTGTGGTGGTGGTGCCGCTGCTGGTGGGGGATGCGGTGCTGGGGGCGCTCTACTTCACACAGGACACGCCCTGCGACTTCTCCAACATACAGGATGCACTGCTGGTGCGCCTGCGCCCCTCGGACTGCAGATATTGGTATTGTGCGGCGCAGTGTGAATGTGTGTGCAAACCGATAGCCCTGCAGACCGCGTGCGCGGGGCGACGCGGCGTTCGTGCCAGAGACTCCGCGGCCCCGAGTTCGGTGCGGCAGGACGGGCCCGGGCTCGGCCGGGGCTGGCGGCGCGGTCGTCGCCCTAGCACACCCTGCTGCTCCCCTGGATTCCCTCGACGGCCCTGAGCGCGAGCGCGGCCCTGATCCCCGGGTTTTTTTTCGGAGGTCCCCAGCAAACAAACACACACACACACACACACACACACACACACACACACACACACACACACACACACATCCTGCACACACACACGTACACACACACACACGTACACACATACACACCAACCGCCATCCATCCGCAGGGCTTTGTGCATGCGGTGACCCTGGCGCTGCACAACAAGCTCGCGGGCCAGATGGCCCAGATGCGCGCCATGCTCAAGACGGTGGGCGGCCTGTTGATTAGGATCAGGATCAGGATCAGGATTACTGATTTGCAGCGCCGCGTAGCGCGGCAGCCAGCCGGATGCCTCCGCGAGCCCGCACGGCCCAGCCCGTGTCCCTCGTGCATCCACTCTGCCGCGTGGCCCCGGCTTCCCGCCGCCGCGTGCCCCATCCCTCCCCCATCGGAGCCGCAAGCGCCCCTGCGGCCAGCTTCTTGCACCGACAAAACCGCCACCCACCTCAACAGCCCAAATGCATGCCCCGCACTCCTGGCTGGATCGGCCGCACGCCCGCCCGCGCGCCCCCTGCCCTGCCAGCGCTCGTCGCGCCCCCCAAACCTGCCCCCTTGACCCAACCGCCACAACAGCCCCAGCACGCCGCCCCACAGACCCTGCCGGCCCCCTGTGCCTCCTCCGGTCGCAGGCCAACAGGCCCTCCCGCGGCGGCTCCGACAGCCAGCCAAACAGCCAGGCCACCAACCCCGTCATCCGCCAGCTGGAGACCAGCGAGTCCGAGGATGCAGCAGATCACGACCCCTCGGACGATCAGGAGCCCCCCTCCCCGGAAGACAGCGTGCCGCCGCTCTCCCAGTCTGGCGCGAGCGGCGGGCGGCTGTCCAAGATCAGCAGCCGGCGGCTGTGCACCGAGGGGATGCTGAGATCTCTGCAGCAGGAGATCCGGAAGGGGAAGAGGCGGAGCGTGGAGCTGAGCTTTATGGCGAACCAGCTGATGATCTACGAGCCCATAGGGCGCGGCGGTGGGTCCCGGCCCCTTGTGCAGAGGGTTACGCTTCATAGCATGTCAGCACACTGCGTGTATGTATAAAATGATTGATTGTGAGTGAAATTTGTTCATCAGATTGGTCTGGGGGGCCCAAATCGGCGTGACGGGTTTGGGGGAGTGGCGCCCCCCAGGGTTCGCGCCTGGTGAGAGCTCGGCGTACGCGGCCATCGTTGACGCGCCCTGGGCGCGCCCGCCGCCCCCTGCCCCCGCCCGCCGCAGGCTTTGGGCGCGTGTACCGCGGCTCGTGGCACAAGCGGCCGGCTGCCATCAAGGTGCGCGGCGCGCCCCAGGGGCCAGCCCCAACACCGCCAGCCCCTACCCCC